AGTGGGGACGATGTCTCAAACAGAGTCCTCGAGAGGTAGGAAAATCGCCCTCCGAGGACTTCGAACTTTTTTTTTCAGAGCTCGATTACGAATGATTATCAGTGCGTAATTATAGATTGCGTATGTATTGTATGATACACAATTGAAGGTTTTAATTTTTGTTGGATGAAACTTTACAAAAATTGATCAATTACAAAAAATTACTTTTAATCAATTTTTCAAGAGCTAGAATTCGACATAAGTTAGCTCATAGTTCTAAAGTAGATTATTTTGAATATTTTCACATTTAAATGGCTTTTATCGTTTCAAATCGTTCGATGTCTATTGCTTTTCGAATCAATTTTAATCGGTAGTGATTTCTTGTTTTTTTGGCTTTATTTTTCGTCATATATATTAGACGAATCGCATACAAGCAAACACTAAGAAAACAATCTCCAGCAAATGAAAAAAGACGGAAAAATCAGATTTGAATCAAGTTTTTGGAACCGAAAATCGAACACTTTGTCAATATTTACGTTAGCCGATTTTCGAAACTTGAAATCTCGAAAGAGTTCCACCATTGTTACCAGATTTCAATTACAACAAAAGGTCACGTAGACTCACTTACGTGTAAACCACTGATTGCAAGCTTTCTTCGTTCTTGAATCTTATGGTAAATGACTTCGGTCAAATTTAATCTTTTATTAGTTTAATGCTATATTATTGAATAATCTCTGTCAGCTTGCTATTACCATTAATCGATTTTTATTGTATGTACTGAGGACAAAAGTACTCTTATTAAGATTCAAACACAAAACTTCAATTATTCATTAGTTTTTGTTTACTCCTTTAACAGAAAGCATAAAGTTGTCTCAGAACTCAAATCTAACAACTTCAACAAGGTACAAATCCCAATAGAAATTATTTAAAATCCAAATGTTATGTTTATTGCAAGACATCGAAAAAAATCAGCAAGAAATTCTTCTCTTGAGTCTCATGAGTGATTGTATATGACGATATGTGAGGACATATGTTAGCTCGTGATCTAAGCACGTCTGTAGTTCAATGAATTGGTATCTGAAATGATCATGATAAACATCTTTGATTCGCCTATGTTTCTTGTAAATTAGACAAAAAAAGTCGACTTTCTCTCATTCATTTACATGTGGGTCCGGCTGGACCCACAAAGGTCTTTCTTATGATAGAATTGAGTGACCATCCGAGGGTTAAATGGTAGCCAAAAAAAATGCCGATCATATAATATGTCGAAAAGTTGTAGATGTCGTTACGAAACAATGCTGGTTTTCCTCACTTTTTCGTCCTGTCTGTTAAAACTTTATTGATTAGAAAATACTTTTCTTCAAATAACCATTGTATGAATAACTAACTAGAACAATGAAAAGAATAGAAAACACAAACGACAAACTGTTCATTTATACCGTTCTTTTCTATCAGATGATCTATTTCGTTCGTTTTTAGATATTTAAATAATATTTTGTAGATACAAATGTCGAAATCAAATGTGACTAATGATTCTAGTTCCTCATCAGCTAGTCGCAATTCACCATCATCATCTCGTCATCATTCACTATCAGAATCTTCAAGACGTGCATCATGTAAACGTCCTCGTCAAACTTCAATTTCTCCTCCACCTCAAGCAACATCTACTAAACTGGCACAGGCTGATGGTCTCT